AGCGCAACACAGCCGAGCCGGTCAGCTTCTTGCAACAACATGAGCGAAATGGAAAATATTTATGTGACGTCAGCAAATCGGCGAGTTTTAAATGATTTTCAATTTCGCTAGTTTCAAATGCCTGTAAAAAACTTATTTAACCTTGTAGAAATTTTTTTTTTGGTATATATGCCTTAAATAGTCCCTCCTTTCGGATTTTATACTTGAATTACTTATTTAAATTTTAGTGAAAGAGCCCATTACCGGTGATAGGTGTAAATACAAAAGTTGTAGCATTTTACCTGAGCCACCAGAATTTTTCATTAGATTGAAAAAATAAGCAACACAAAATGAAAAAACATGTCAATGTTCACTTTTTTCAAATGGAATGCACTTTATTTTCTTTCAAATTCTTAAAGTTCTCGTTTTTCTGATTCAGATTGTATAATTTATTAATGCTTCCTCTAATAGTTTTGGAAATATCTGGAGTTTAGTTATTTAAAGACCAGTTCATGTATGAGAATGTTTTGTGAACAGGTGACAGGTAAATCAAGGTAAAATATATTCAAAAAACTACTGTCTTTGAATAACTTACCTCCCGATATTTCCAAAACTATTGAAAGAAACATTTACATCTCATAATATGAATTAGACAAATGAGAACTTTAAGAATTTGGAAGAAAATAAAGGGCATTCCATTTAAAAAAAGTGAACATAAACATATTTTTTTACTTTGTGTTGCTCATTTGTTCAATCTTATTAAAAATTCTGCCGGTTCAGATAAAATGCTACAGCTTTTGTACTTACACCTTTTACCTATCACCTGTAATTATGGCTGCAGGTGGGTGTCAAAATATGGTAACTCACATGTGTACATATTTGAGTGTCTCATGTTTTCACAAAGAAATAAAAATTTATTTGAACAGCTCAGAACCGAAAGGTATAACACCAGGGCAGAATATTTTTCTTACCGGAGACATCGTCTTCAATTAAGTCAAAGAAGTTTCTGCTTTTAACACGTTAAGCGCCATGGCGGTCCCTAGGGACCGCCAAAGGAAATACCCCATACGCCATGGAGGTCCCTAGGGACCGCTGCGTATTTATTCCAAATTATTTGTCGCAGAAGCCAGCGGTCCGTTCCTATGCCTGTTTGAGCATGGTAGGCGGACCTCTCTGGCCTGTGCGGCATGCACACCTATGCGAACTTTTTGATTCGAAAAAATATTCGTGTTTTTTTTAAATTTTTATTGCAACGTGTACAATTTTGTTAAAATACAGAGCAAACTAACTGATAGATTCTTGTAAACAACAGAAGAAGCAGGAAATAATTAAATAAAATAAGAAAAACAATAACAACAGTAGATAACACTAATCTACTTGTGACACTCATTGAAGCAGTCCAAACAGTAGTGCGGATTTTCGTCACAATTGCCGCAATATGTGGTTACTTTTGGCACTTTATTTTTGGGAATGAATCCTTTGAGTTTTTTTTCATAACAGCCTTTACAGTAGCGCCTAACTTTATGGGCGATGCCTTCTTTTTTTTTCAGTACATGAACCTCTCTTTTTTTTCCGGATTTTGACGTAGATGGCCTATTGATCTCCTCTTCCTCAGCTGGAAACATGAAACTTTCTACGATGCTTTCTTTGAAATCAGTAATAGACATGGATTGGTCATTTATAGATTTATATAGAAAATGAGCGTTAACCAAGGCAGTACCAAAGATCAGTTCAATCGCTATTTTCCTGTACCACTTCACCGTTTTCCTTAGTGCGTTGTTGTAGCTTGCCATTTGATCCGATAAGTCGATTGAACTCTTAGCCTTGTTGTATTCCATCACAGCTATTGGTTTCTCTATATCGCCAGTGCGCCTATGTACAATAACAGTTTGATCTGCATGCTTTGTTGAAAGCATGAGAACATCTCTCTTGTCTCTCCACTTCAAAATACAAATACCCCGACTATTTTCTTTCACAGCAATTTCTCCAGGCCTTAGTTTTTTAGTTGTTACTTCCTTCGGGTTGCCTCTTCGATTTGACCTTAGAGTCCCCAGAAGATGTGTTTTTTTATCCAACAACTTGTTCGCTAGCTCTAAGCTGGTATAATAATTGTCGGTCACGACTGTACGTCCAGAGTCCAAAAGTTTCTGTGAAAGTGTCATAACGACATTAGTCGGAACAGAAATTTCAGCATCTCGGTGCTTGCCACAGTATAATTTTATGTTCCACGTATAACCGTTATCAGAACAAAGTTTGAATAATTTAACTCCATATTTATGGGTTTTATTTGGAATGTACTGTTTCATAATAAGTCTTCCTCGAAATGGAATTAAACTTTCATCTATGCAGAATTGTTGCGAGGGTGTGTATGCCCTTTGAAATTTTTCGATCAATAAATTCATGAACGGCTCAATTTTATATCCACGATCGCCCTCAGGACACATATCGTTGTCTGTGAAATGCCAGATATGCAGAAGAAGCTCGAAACGATTTCGACTCATAACTTGTCCAACTACGCTATTTTGATATAGTCGTTTGCGTTTACTCCAATATGTTTCTAGTCTAGGTAGTTTGACTAACCCCATGTAGCCTACTATACCCAGAAACTTTTTCATTTCCCCTACGTTTGTTGGTGTCCAAGCATGGAGACGGCTATTCGCCGTAATATCATCAGCATTTATAAGCTTCTGTGTCGCATAAAGATTTGTATGGTCTGTCATAATTTTTAGGATTTCATCATCCACAAAAAATGAAAAAAAATCACTGGGACATGAGCCTATTAGTGCTGCAGCAATTTCTGGGTTGACACCAGTGTTTTCAGGGTTGAATATAAATTTTTGATGATTTCCCACAGGATTACTCCATTCAATATTGTACGCGTCTACAGTTATTTGTTCGTTTTCATCACTATCGAGAACGTCTGGAAGAATACCTGGTATTTGCTGAATATTTTCTTCCACCTCATGCTCCGGAGTTACGAGAGTGGCTTCTGGGATTGGGTGTACTTCAATAGATTCATCTGAACCTCTTTGAAGTAATCCGGCGGGTATTTTGTGTACATCGATTTCGTTTTCCGAATCACTTTCCGACTCAGTTTCGTTCAACTGGTATGTTGGATCTTCCATAGAATCCGAAGAACAGTGATAAGGATCCTCAGCCTCACTTGCACTCGAAGACGAATCTAAAAACAATAAATTTTATACTACAGCACGAAAAAAATAATTCAATGTTCTTACCATCGCTAAAGTTCGATTTCCAACTCTTTTTTGCAAGTTCTAAAATGCGTTTTGTACGCTGACTCATTATAAAACAGGAAACGAGAAGATTTTACACACTGTAATACTTGACCTGCACACTTCGACAGTCCAAGTGCGACCACACTGTTTACCACCGACTCATTTGCGCAACGGAAAAAATCTGGCTGCGCGAGGCTCCGAGCACAAATCAAGGTTAACGGGGACCGCTGGACGGACCGCTATGGCGCATGCGGAATATAGTTCCGCACACGCCACGGCGGTCCCTAGGGACCGCCAGAAAAAAAAAATTGGAATTGCCAAAAAATAACTGTCAAAATCAAAATTACAGATGTTTTCATGAAATTTGTAAACTAATAAACCAATAAAAGACAAAATTATTACTTGGCCCAGGGGGCCCTTTTTCAACATTTTGCCTGGCGCTTAACGTGTTAAGAGAGAAGTGCTTATTAACTTGGAGCCATATACCTTGGACGATTTCTCGAATATGTGAATTATAGTAATGTTAGCAACATATTTAATTATACTGATAAATGTTTAGTTGTATCTTTTTTGCTTATATTATTATAATAGTCCGAGTCAAAAAATAACAGTCAAAGTTTAACGAATATATAAACTACAACCTCAACTAGAACATCACACTAAAAATCAAAAATATAACAATATAAAGCTGAAACCAGGGGAAAAACGAAAACCAAAGACGCGAGAACAATCAAAATTGGTAAAATAATTCGCTTGAACTGTAATACGCGTTATAAGAAATTTCTTTACTTCTTCATAGCTTTTCTTCAGAGTTTTTTCATCTTTAAATTTGTTTGTCCCAATAAAAGAGCCTCGGATAAGTTCTGAGTGGGGGACCATTTAGCTTCAATTTGCACTTATGTTTTTCAAGAACTAAATAGTGAGCACACCGTTTCCAGAATTAGAAGACATTACAGAGTTAGATTGCTCAAAAACACGATATGAATCACGAGGCTTGGCTTCCCCCAAGAATCTAATGAGCCTTTTTTGCAGTAAGAACACTAGTGAATTAAAAAGATAATCAGAACAATGGCCAAATCAAATCAGAAGCCAATTCCTTATCGAAGATAGGACTCAATAATTACAAAGTACACAAATTTGGAAAAAAACATTGATTAGCAAATTACCAATAACTCTCAGGGCATAGCAACCAGGCAAAACTTAGACTCAAGTTTAGACTTATTCTTAAGACATTACGTTAACAGTTCTGCCTAGTGAGCTGTGGCCTAGTCCTCAGTAAATTAATTTTCAAATTTTTTACAGAAAAACTTAAATTTTACAAAAAAAAGGGCATCCTAGATAATCAATCAAAGAATGTTTATGCCAAATTTGAGCTAATTCTGATTTCTATCTTGTCTAAATTTGTCCTACCCACTAGACTGAAGACCAGTTTATGAGTGGATGGTTATTTAGTTTAGTTGTGGTTTTCCTATTGATAACTATTAGTTAACTGACAGCTTACTGAATAACTGTCCACTGATATACTGGTCCTTAGAGCAAACAAAGTCTATTCCAAAAAGCTGACTTTGGACAAAAAATTAATGCAATATAATCTAAAAAAAAGTTACATCATTCTTATGCATAATTTGTTAACAAAACACAGTCAATTTGATTCAACAAATAAAGCCTCTACTAGGCTTCAGGTGCCAACACACCAATTCAAAAAAAAAGTGCCACATAATTAGGTCAACAATCCAACCAACCATACGTTTCCTATAATCTTATTACATAAAATTGGTAACTTACCATGAATAAGTGGTTCCCAAATCGATACCAATCACGGTACCCACTTCGTCTTTGGCGTTTTTGTCATCTTTTGCCAATACAGTGGCTACGAGACAGAGTGCCCCCAGTGCAAGATAGAACTTCATTTTTGTTTTTTGGGATTCTATGCAGCGATTTGTGGTTTCTGAAATAAGCAAGCAAAAGGATCGAGTTAAATAGAGTGAAACCTAATTTTGATTGAAAAAATTAATGATTTTAGGCAGAAATGACTAAAACACTATAAAGTACCGTTAGTGTCCTCAATTTGCCACACCAAGTGAATATTTTAATTATAACAGGATGGTTTATAATAGGAATTTATTTGGGCAGGTTGTGGCCGGCATATTTTAACTGTGTTTTGGGGGTTTATGACACGTCAATTCACAGATGATAAAAGTCCTTTGGTAATCAATAATTTTGGGGTCAAAAATAATGAAAATGATTATGTATTTAGCTTTAGACATTAGTTATTGAAATGTTTAATCAATAGTTTATTAAATAATAGGAGTTCTTGGAAAAAAAAATCTATAAGCACCTTTTTAGACTGCTAGTCAAATTTTGCCTAAAAAACCCACAATAAAATTAAAAATTCAATAAATACTCACTCAACAACCAATAAAGAAACTATTCACAAAATATAATAAAAACTTTTAACGAATTCTTCTCGAAAAATCTTAAAATATTCACTTGATCACTTGTCTTTGCTTCCTTTGAAAATGAATGAATTAAATTGACTGATCAATCGGGGTCTGTCACTTTGTAAAATATACTACACAATAAACCCGTGGTCGCGTCCGATTGGTCGCAGTTCAAATTTCTCGCGTTCCGATTGGTCGATGTTTCCCAAGTTGTCGGAACACGATTGGTCCACGTTGGGAAGATTCGGATTTTTGACGTCCGCAGACGTACGTCGCCCACGATTACGTTCCGAGTAGATACGAGAATTGGGCGACGTATGTTCTAGATTAGTTCTAGAATATTTTCGTATTGGACAGATGGCGGTATTTTTGAATTTGAAATGGAATGACGAAATGTTTTTTTGAAATTACATACTGTTACGTTACACGGATTCGTAACCGATTAGAGAGTTTAGTTCCTGAAACGATATAGGTATTATAGGAAAAGGTAGATATTTTTATTCGGTATAATAAATAAAATAATATGTAATACATTAACAAAAACAAAAATTAGATATATTTTAGAAACGGTTATTTAATGTCTAGCTAGATGGTGATATCTACTTTACATTTTCAATGAATTAAATAAATGCTAAACACAAGCTATAGATCGTAAACCTTGTAAATAAAAAATAAAACACGCAACACGCATTATACAAATAATTTAAAAAAAAGGATCGAAAATGAAAATAATAAACAATAAAGCACAAAATTATTATAATAAGATCCTCAGTAAAATTTGTACAGAACAAAGAAAAAAGCACAGACAGAAAATTTAGCTTTAAGCTACAAAACAGCTTATAAATGTTTCTACCGAAAACTTTTTTCAAGGAAACGGTTTGACCAGTAAAATTTTTTTGATTTTTCTCATTTTATGAATTTTTTTTTCCAAAAAATGAGAAAAATCAAAAAAAAATTACTAGTCAAGCAAGCACAAAAGTACCTACATTCTTAAAAACAGTTTTTGTTAGACCTTGGGTCTGTTCCCACAGGAGTCTTTGACAGTTTGCAAACTGTCAGTAAGCATCGCCCATACATGTTTTTAATGCTGTCGTTCCAAGATTAATCTGTACTTCAGCTGAGCGATTGTTTCTGACAGGTTACAAACTGTCAGAGACTCCCGTGGGAACAGACCTCTTGTGTTCAAAAAATCCAAAAAAAATATATGTTTTATGGTTACTTTACTTACTTTAATCCATAATTTTTTTAAGCAAATTTGACTCGCCATTTTTGAGTTATATCGCAAAAACTGAAAAAAAAGTAGTTTTTCACCATTTATTTCAAAACGAATAGATGAAGTTTCCCATTATTTTTATTACGAACTACTATTGCACTTCTACGCGACATATATTTTTTTCAAATTTTTTGTTGTTGTTTTCTCGCTACTACAAAAATAGTTGGAAATACACGCCCTAGCTACACTGTTTAGAAAAAAATCCGACGGATGAACGTTTAAAATGATTTGCGTTGGTCGAAACTACAACCACAACCCTGTTTATGTAAAACAGAATAATACTTCGAATTTCCGCCAAAAAAAGAAAAAACTTTCCATCACACAATTCAACCAAATGAAGATTTCTATTTTTTTTTGACAGTCAAGTTAGGGCACACTATAGGGACGACAGCATTGACATCTCGCGTTGCTGTAATAAACTATAGGCCTGACTTTAAACCTTAAAACAGCATAGTCGCAAACGCGAAATACCTATTTTTTCACCATCGAGAAGCACATTCTTAGTCCGGTATTCATAGTGCCTACTTGAGCGCTGAGGATTCCTTAAAGGAGACCTTGGCAGTAAATTGTTTTGCATAGTCAAAATTGTCAAGGCGTCCTTATCGCCGCTTATGCGTATTTTGGCACATTTCCTTCCTTGACTTGAGGAATGTCCAGAGGTCCCTTGAGACTGGTTTTCTAACCTATTTCTATAAAAAAATTTCATGTGATTGGTGACAGTACGTGAATTGTAGGTATTTCATTGATGTGCAAAGTTTATTATTAGTATTGTAATGAGTATGGATGGGCTGGAAAATGTGTTTGAAGAGATAAATGTCGCTGCTGATGATAACCGCGTATGTGGCTAAATTCACCTTTCTACCATTCCACCGTGGTGGAATGGTAGAAAAAGCAGTGTTAAATCAAACAGGGATTAGCATCCATTAGTGAGTCGATAAATCACCGCATTCGTGGCATTGCCACATTTTGGGAAATTTAGCCACACGCGGGTTGTGCTGCGGAGGCCAAGAAGGTAGAGTTCGCCTTACGAGTCTAGCACTATGGAAAGAATGCGGATAAAAAAATTGCAATTTTGCATTTTTGACTTCCGAAAGAAAATACCTTGATATTTATCTATGTTACACACCTAGATTTATAAGGAAAAACCAATGACATCAAAACACAGATAGACCGAACAATAAACAAAATTTTCGTATGACAACATCTCTCTGTCTCTTTTGGGTCTTTGTGCTATCCCCACCACTGAGAATGCCAAATTTTGTCTTGAAACCCTAAATAATATATTTTTATCCTTTTCTAATTAACGTTTTCAATTTTACTTCTGAACTCAATTTGGCAACAGCAGATTGTAGCAAAACACCGCCCAGAATGCCCCAGAAGCGGCTTGTTGAATGGCAGGCAGGTGTTTGTTGGAGTAGCTAGCTATCTTTATCGCAAACAGGGATTATTTATTAGCGTTAAATAAGAAACGACCGATACGATATTGGTACTCCCAGAATAAAGGGCTCGTATCGAATATTTTCAGTTTATTTGTCAATTTGTTATTTTATTTATTCATCCAATTAAATTTCGAGATATATTCACGTGTGGGCGGAGTTTTTTACACCATTTTGAGCAATGATGTCTCCCTACCCCGACCCCGCGAGCAACTCACCTCCCCTGGCCCATGGGTGGTCTTGTCAACACAACAAATAACAGTTTATGAATGGGATGATCCGTCTATCTGTGTTTTGATGTCATTGGGAAAAACTAATATTTAAAAACGCTGCACGCATGCCTATGACAGGCAGCATAAACCTCGAAATGGATGGCGTTATTCCCCCTTGCTCTTCAGACGTCGTAGTGCCAGACTCGTAAGGCGAACTATACAGGGTTGTTCCGTATATTTAGACAGAATATAGTTCGCTAATGAAGCAAGATAGAAAAAAAATATAAATACAAAGTAAATAGGGATTTACGAGAACCGCTAGAAAATTTAACTTTTATACATATATACAGGGTGCACGCAAAAGATGTGGCAGACAAAACTTGTATTTTTTTCTAAATGGAACATCCTGTATATTTTTGGCTAGAATGATGGATTGTTTTCTTCTGATTCCAAATATATGTTGATATTTGGTTCAGCTGTTCTTACGCTATTTAAGTTTAAAAATGCATTAACATTAGATCTGTTCCGGGTTCCTTATATCAATGGTGAGTCATTCTAGAGGCAAACATATACAGGGTGTTCTATTTATACAAGTTGTGTCTGCCACATCTTCAGCGTGCACCCTGTATATATAAAAGCTAAATTTTTTAGCTGTTCTCGTAAATCCCTATTTTCTTTGTATTTACATTTTTTTCCTATCTTGCTTCAAAGCGAGCTATATGCTGTCTAAATATACGGAACAAACCTGTACATTCATCGAAACATGCAGTATCCATTGGAATTCTAAATTAAAGAAGTAGTCCATCTCTCAAAGTAAAGTTGAAATTTAATTCCAAAAAAATACATAAAGTCTTCCTCCACAAAATATTTTGATAAAGTAAAAGCGCCCTACAGGTTTCGAGGCTAGAAGACCTGTTCATCAGGGGCAAGTTCGCTCACATCTCACAAAGTATTTAAGGTCGCGCTAGACTTCGTATTCGACAGAGGAAAAGAAACAGACGGTTGAAACATTGAAAAGTTGGGACATTAAAAAAGACAAAGATAAAAAAAACATCAAAAAATTAATAGATCAATTGTATATTTATTTTTCTTAAATTTTTATCAATAATTGACTTTGCTAGGTAATATTTTTATTTTGTCCATTATTATTCTTATATTGCGAAGCAACTTCATGGTTGTGGGTTATCTACAAAATGGTCAAGGAATTATAAATTTCATCTCAGGCAGGCTGTTTTTCCTCCAATAATACGGCGTTTATTTTTTTTATTTTCAACTATGACTCTGTGCTGAGCTACCATCTGGACCAGGAATATTTTCTGTCTTGGTGTACTTGGTCGCCATAATTACTTGTGCATAAATTTCACAGACAAATCACTATTTCTACAGCTATCTGACCTTAATATTCGCATCAACGACACACAGAACCAACAACATTAACCATACGGCAAACATGAACAATGATCACTTCTTGACAATAACAATAGACATTTCGTAAAAAGCGGTGTTGTCAGTTGCAAAACTTATGACAAGGCTTCCTTGAATAAGGATGATGCTTTTACTCGCCTCTATGAAATGCCAAAGTCGCAAACCACGAAGGTGTCCTTATTCAAGGCGACCTTCAAGTCGCAAGGGGTCCTTAAGAGGCCTGGGTACCTCTGTGCGACGGGTTAAACTATTTTTTGATTTACGTCCAAAGTATTGGATCAAAATCAATGAAATTTGGTGGGATGATAGATGATGAATCACAGAAGAATGAAAAGTAATTTTTTATAGAAAAAAATAATTCTGAAAATTATCTCGCCTCCCAAAAAAAAAAAGATTGGAATATAAAATACTTCTCACATTTCTATGTTAAAATACTAACATTTTTTACCAATATAATTTTTTTGTTAAACACGTACATTCTTGTTAAACATAAAAAAACAGAAAATGTATTATTTCGGATCAATTCCTGCAATCGCAACTACATATTTTATGGCATGGCAACACTGAGAACTGCCCCGCCAACCCCCGGCCGGCGCTTCGACAACATCCCGGGAATAAAATAATATTTATTCTTATCTCAATAATTGTTTTGACCATTCCGTGCCGTCGAAGAGTTTTTGCATTGCCTTTTGTGTTTTGAAAATAAACTGGGTAAAAACTTTGGTACAACTTCAGAAATTTTTGATAGGAAAAGATTACGTTTATCTAATGAACGTAAAAATTGACGACTTCCTATAAAAAAAAATCTAGGTGAAATGGTAATATTAAGTTTTTAATATAATTAATAGGTGTGGTAACTAGGTAAT